CTAAACCTTTCAAATATAATTGTTGTCTATATATGAAAAGATTCATTGGAGCATATAAGAAGGCCAGTCTGAAATAACTTCCAACAGTACAGTTGTTTAATGGAATGAAACGTATACAAATGACTACAGTTTTTGCAAGGACACTTTATTATAAGACACTGAAAGGTATATTTTTTAAAAAAAACAGTCCATTTTCCAGACCACTGAAATTTTGAAAAACTATACTGCCAAGCCCTAGAAAATGTACATGCTGCAGACAGACTTTCATATTGGAAAAGATAAAATACCCTACTCTGCAAATGTCTGACAATAATTCTTTATATTTATCTAGATGTACGTCCCACAAAACACCACTCTCCAAGACTTTGTGATTCAGTGGCTCCATCATAAAATGTATGAAGCCAGTGAGTGAACTGTTGTGCTAGATACATTGATTTTATTTTATTTTTGCAAGTGCCATCTCTCACACTTGTTAGTTGTACTGCCACTTTACTCATCTTGGAGGCAGATCATTCTGACATAAATATTGATCAGGAGAAAAGCAATGGCAGGTTAAGCAATATTTTTAAATTGCTAGGAGACAGGGTCACGTTCCTGGCTTTTTATTTTCATACAAACTCTTCAGAACTGGGAGAAAAAAAGAATTCAAAATGCCTAGGCAACTGCATCAGCTGTTGAATGCCAGGTGGTTTTTTTTTTTGGGGGGGGGGGGGGGGGGGGGGTTCAGCCATTAACACCAACAAAGATTTGTGATTACTGTCTTGTATTTCTTTCTTGCCTTTCATTATTATCTCCTGCCTTCTTAAAATGAAACTAACCTGCTGATATTTCTAATCTGAGCCTATTTCCTGTACTTTTGTTTGAAGTGGAGAGTTGTTTTTAACAATCACCACATGAAACATCACTATAAACTCTGCCTAGATTCTATGTAAATTGCCTCCGTAAAGTCTTTCTGATAACAATGCAAAAACATTTAGGCTCCATCCTGATAAGCATGTAATGGTTTCTCAGTGCAACCAATGGATTTGTTTTGTAATACAGTAGTCTCGCTTATTCAAACTTTGCTTATCCAGCCTTCCATCTTATCCAACGCTCTTATCCAACGCTCCACCGCCCCCCCCTTTCCCCCAGCATTTCCCCTTAGAGGCCATGTTTTTAGTTTCTTTCTTCCCCATTTTGGCCATTGCCACTGTGCGGACTCTGAAGGAGGAGCCAGCGCATAATGTTTCTCCCTCTCCTCCCCCTGCTCACAGCAATGGTTCAGTCCAGGTTGGAAGAAGGGGCCGTGGCTACGTGGGAGTTTGTAGGAAATATGGGAAGAGAAAAGAATGAAGGTGGGCAGTTGTCTTAAGGGTTTTTGTAAGTGTACTATCTACCTTTTCATTACAATTCCTTGTCTTTTTTCCATCTGTGGTGAGTGAGTTCTCTCCTTGTGTCTAGAAAACCAAACAGAAGGAGAACTCACTTCTATCCTCTGATCTCTGCCAGGATAGAGATGTAGACTTCAACTCCCTGAAGCCTCCCTATTATCCAACATTTTCATTTGTCCAATGTTCTGCCATCCCATTTATATTGGTTAAGCGAGACTACTGTACATTTCGCAATCAGCAGCCTAACATAGCACTACCTAGCACTTGCAACACTACAACAACATTGAAGTCAGGGGATTCTAATCAGCAGCTTACATCTCATAGGAGTTTCTGCTGGTCAAAGAAGAAATTGCAAACCATAGAGATGAGGCCCCACTTAAGGTTTAAGCATTGGACTATAACTGTGGAGATCAGGATTCAAATCCCTGCTCACACATGGAAACCCACTGTGTGGCCCTGCACATGCCTCACTCTCACAATCTTAGGGGGAAAGCAAAAGCATGCCCCTTCTGAACAAATATTACCAGGAAAAATGCAAGGTAAGTTTACCTCAATGTCAGCAGAAGTCCAAAACAACTTGAAGGCACACAATAAGAATGACGTTTTTGAGGAAGTAACTAGTTTTGGATTTTCTTAAAAGAGATCTTGAGATGGTAGCTGCCTTTTCCCATTGTATTTACAATATTTACTAAAATCTAATGCTAACCTTTTTTGACTAAGTTACCTTGCCAAAATTAGAGTGAACATTAGATTCTGTGCTGGTACAGCTGTACTAGGAGCTCTAACTTCCTTTCCTTTCTATTGAGTGTTTGCATGTATTCCAAAGTTCCATGCATTTTGCAATAAGGTGGCTTCCCTTGGTTTGCACTCATAGGGCCAATGACCCATCAATTATCATTATGTTCTTTAGTTCCACCCCTTTTTCTGGGTTAAGGAAGGAAAAAGGGAACCTCTAGTTCAGTTATCACGGAGAAGCCTTTCCAATAGGATGTGTGAGATTCTCCCACCTGTAGAAATCTTCGTTTCTCACAAACTTTGGGGGAAAGCAGTTCCACAGCTTTACTAAGAAATATAGCCAGCTTTGCTGGAAGGTAAAGGACACCACCTGGAAAATCTACGAAGTCTTGGCCAGTAAGGTCTACTCGGGTTACCCATAAAGCAAATTGGAACCGGGAGTAGGGCCCAAGCCAGCCTAAGAACAGGTTGCCCAGGGAAGGGTCAAGAATTTCTTTTATAGAAGAAAGAAACAGTTCTTGAAGCAAGTTGCCTGTCCCTTGTGGGCAGATTAAGAAAGCTACCAGTTTCCCAGAATTTTAAAGTATTTGATTGATTTGTTGAAGATTTAAGCATTAATAAAGAACCTTGTTAAACTTTGTAAGCTTCTAAAGACTTTGTATAGGGAAATCCATAGGGCCTTTCAGCCGAGGCACCCCAGGCATCCCGCTGGGCATATAGAGACCACGTCCTGTTAATAGACAATTGCTACAGGCCCAGTGTGTGACAGCACAGATTCAGATAATACTGTAATGTTAGTACTGAGCCAAAGCGAAAGGGGAAGCTGCTTCAGGAGCACCTGGAGCTTTTATTTGAAGGATGGAATCTGTAATTTAATTGCCATAGCTCAATGCTATGTAGTCCTGGGATTTGTAGTTTGGTAAGGCATCCACACTCTTTGGTAGAGAAGGCTCAAGGCCTTGTAAAACCACGTCCCCCATGATTCCACAGCATTGAACCAAGGCGGTTAAAGTGGATTCATTCTACAGCATAGATACACCCCAAGGTTTCTTTTCCAGTGTATTGTCGAAGGCTTTCATGGCTGGAATCACTAGGTTCTTGTGGGTTTTTTCGGGCGATAGAGCCATGTTCTAGAGGCATTTCTCCTGAAATTGTCCACATGCGTACATAGGGACCACCAAACGCAGCGCCCAGACACGCATCAAGGAACATGAAAGGCACTGCAGACTACTTCAACCAGAGATTTCAGCCATAACAGAGCACCTGATGAACCAACCTGGACACAGCATATTATTTGAGAACACAGAAATGCTGGACCACTCTCACAACCACCATGTCACACTACAAAGAGAAGCCATTGAAATCCACAAGCATGTGGACAATGTCAACAGAAAGGAACCATGAAAATGAACAAAATCTGGCTACCAGTATTAAAAAAACTCTAAAATAACAACAGCACAACAACAGAGAGGAAACAACCAAGGACATCTAATCACCTCTCAACAAAAGTTTGCTCTAGGCACTGTCAGACCATTATATGCGAATCAAGGTGGTCAGTTGAAACATTCACCCCTAGCTCCAGCAGACAAGAGTCCCTTGCCCCACCCCAGCCATTCCACAGATATATAAACCCATTTTTCCTAATTCCAACAGACCTCACTACCTCTGAGGATGCTTGCCATAGATGCAGGCGAAACGTCAGGAGAAATGCCTCTAGAACATGGCTCTATAGCCCGAAAAAACCCACAAGAACCTAGTTTCTTTTCCATTGCTGGAAGCATTGGTGTTTCAACACAATTGCTTTTAAAGAGGGAATTCTAAGCAGGTAGCAACTGTAATGGGCTTATTACAAAGAGTACACCTTTTGGTGTTGCGCATTACATATGCCAGAAAATAAATATTTTTGGTTTCAAGTATTTTGAAAATTTAGGTGCATATTAGATTCAGTAGCGCATTAGACTCAAGTAAGTAAAACACAAAGCAATATTAATTCATGCAGCATGAATGGGATGCACAACAGCGTAATGCAGTATATAGTATTCCTTTACAAGTTCCCAATTATGCCAAACTTCTGTACCTTCTGTTCTTCTGCTTCCCTTACCTATCTTTTCCCTCAGCTACTAGCTGTTGATACCAGCTTCTTGTGTGCAGATAGTTCCCCTTTTTTGGTAAAATAAAGGAAGGTACTCAGATAACTGAGTGTTAACATTCACTATGATATAGGTGAATGAGGGCACATATGCTGAGCTTACCAATGAACCTTAGCAGAAGCCTTTCAACATATAAGGAAAAGCAAGTTCCTAGGCATTTCGGAAATTGTTTGATATTCACATTTTAAAAAATCAACTGGCATTAGCACAGAAATATCAATTTAATTTAAAAAATCAAATTCTATCATTTTGTGGTATTCTTGCAGCACAGATTAAAAATGGGAACAACAGACAGCTATTTTCATTCCTCACAATCTCTCCACTATTTGACAAAGCTTCAAGTACTCCAAGTTTCTCCTGTGTTTTTGCCTGGATGTTGGCATCATCTGGAACTGCAACGTCTATTGGCCAGACAGACCTATTTTCCATGCTGTTGTAGATAATTTCGGGTCCATTGAAGACGATTGTCCGGTTATTGTGTATTTTACTTTCCCATGGATGCTTTACTATTATAGTGCTGCTGTTTTTCATGTCCCCTGGAAAAAAAACAGCACAGAGGTGGGGCTCAGCAGCCGCCCAAAACTGCAGGGCTCATATTCATGAATCATATCTGGGTAAGTGCAGACATCTGGTGCCAGCTATAGAGTGCCTTGCATCCTTATCTTTTCCAGAGATGCCAACATTAATTCTATTGATTTAATTTTCTTAATGTTACATGAAATAGAGTTAAACTAAATTACCTTACCTTGACGTATAAAAGTTTGACTGGTGTCCAATAATATGTCACAACCCTCTACTATCATTCTTTCTATTGCAAGATTTTTCCGTATGTTTTCTGTTTCACTCACTTCATCATGCATCACTCTGTTGAAACCAGTTTTTAAAAAGAGAGGTTTTAGTTTCTATATATAAACTGCTAACTGCATACAAGTACTTATGCATAACTAACTGGCCTAAATCCAACAAGTCATCCAATGTACTGTAGAAATACCAAATCAATGAAGTTTCAATACATCTTGAGTAACAATGTGTCTGCTTTCATTACAATTAGATGTGGGCCATAAAGTCCCTTTTGAGCTTTATGACCTTCATCAGATACCTTCTTTCTGGTCTCACCAATATTTAAGGACAGGTGGACAGTTAGTGGAGAAAAAACCTTTTCATTATGTCATTTTACTTTTGAAATACTGGCCTGGAGCCTGACCCTTTCCCCAAGTGGCTCATCAAAATGACTTGTTACTGAATAATGTTGTATGATTTCATGAGTTATGCCATTTCTTTGTTTTGGCCTGTTTTACTCAGATTGGGAGCTCCTTCAGAAAAAGGCAAATTCTGCTGTAGTTCTCTGTAGTTTTTATTTAAGTAGCCCCTGGTAGCACAGGTTAAACCCCTGTGCCGGCAGGACTGCTGACCAACAGGTCAGTGATTTGAATCTGGGGAGCAGGGTGAGCTCCCTTCTGTCAGCTCCAACTCCCCATGCAGGGAAATGAAAGATGCCCCCCACAAGGATGGTAAAGCATCAAACATCTGGGTGTCCCCTGGGTAATGTACTTGCAGACAGCCAATTCTCTCACACCAGAAGCGACTTGCAGTTTCCCAAGTTGTTCCTGACATGAAAAAAGTAGTATCTGAGGGCCCTTCCAGACAGGCCCTATATTTCTGTTTCTGTTTATAATGCAGACTCATTTAATCCAGTTTAAAGCACAAAACCTGGGATCATATCCTAGAATATACAGCATGTCCGAAAGGGCCCTGAATGACACCTGCATTGTCCCAGACTATTTTCCAGCAATTCCTAATACCAAGACCAACGTTTTATTCCTACTCTTAATTTTTTAAACATTTGCAGACATATTAAAACAATATATGCCTCTCCTTCCTTTTTAAAGGCTTATAGTGTCATAGTCCACCAGTGGATTATTTGGAAGGGAGGAAATTTGCCTTTGAAATCATAGGACCACCTCAGTAAACACGTAGATCCAAGACATTGCTACAAACAGCCTTAAAATGGAACAAGTGGATGTAGAGGAACCAACTGTCAAAATCTGACAAAATCCAAGTAGTTATAATGCAAGAATTTGTTCACATGGAAGCTTGAGCCTAAATACCTTGAAGGTACCAGATCTTGTCTGATCTTGGCAGCTAATTACACTTAGCCATCTAAAAGATGTACTTGGATGGAAAACGGCCAACAAACATCAGATGTTGTAGGTCACATTTCAAATGAAAGAACTGGCAAAATTACCTCTGAGTATTCCTTACCTAAGAAAACTCTATGAAATTCATGGGGTCGCCATAAGTAGACATGGGACTGGAAGGCACATATACTGTATATGTGTGTACATGTACACACATGTTAAAGAGTGTATCTTACATAATTTTCCCCAATCAGTCAATATTTTTGAGCACCTTGCCCCAATAATATATAACAGTCATTGAAATATAACTAATAAAAAGCATAGAAAGTCATGTTGGTATTGTCTGGAATGCTGAGTGTGCAAATTGTTTATGTGTTCATATGTGTTCATAAACCTCAGTAGGTAGGCTTGGCAAGTCATTATTCAAAATAAGAGTAGGAAAACTCAGCCCTACTGTTCATGCTCAATGTGGTCTGGATACCCAGCTCCCATCATCTCCAGTTGGCACAATCAATATCATGCTTTTTTTCATGTCAGGAATGACTTGAGAAACTGCAAGTCACTTCTGGTATGAGAGAATTGGCCATCTGCAAGGCCATTACCCAGGGGACAATGGGATGTTTTACCATCTTGTGGGAGGCTTCTCTCATGTCCCTGGATTCAAACTGCCAACCTTTTGGTCAGCGGTCCTGCTGGCACAAGGGTTTAACCCCTTGCACCACCAGGGGCTCCAATATCATGCATGATCAGAAGTGAGGACCAGAAGTATCTGAAGAGCAAAGCTTGCTCAACCTTATTTTAATACGACTAAAATATCCACTCCCAACTGTTAAGAATATATATATATATAATACAAATATTACAAACTAATAAATATAATATTTTGGGCAATACAAAATAGAAAAATATTTCATGATGGAGGAAAACAGAATTCCTCTTGAAACATTTGATTTGATATTATCAAATATTTCACTTTAGCTTCTGAACTACTTCATCACACTAGTATTCTCACTACCATACAAACATATTCAGTCACTTATTCTATTAAAGTCACATTTCTCCACTGAAATGGTATGCAGTTCCTTTTTTAAAATGTCCAAGCAGCAGCTTTCTATATCCGTTTTGAAGCACATTAACAAGAATAAAGATCGGGATATTAGTCGTCTCTGAAAATGGGAACACCTTGAATATCCATACTCCATATTTTGTAATTCCTCTGATAAGAAACCCAGACAGCTTCTTTAGGCACATAAGTTTTGTGCCTATTTAAACTAGGGTGGGATAAAGGAGGAAAATCCCATAAATAATTCATGCAAAATGATGCTTATACAGAGTAATACTGACTGTTGAATGATCTCTGAAAAGCCACATTGAGTCTCTGAGGACATTTTTCTTTTGATACTCGCATACACCTTAGCTCCATTTTGAAAAATACCGCACTAACATGATAACTTATAATTTCTATTTTAGCCTCATATAGGATTGCCAGGTGAAAAAAGGATCATAGCCCCTCTCTTTTGATGGTTGTGTAGAAGGGGGAATTTTCGCAGCTGCTGCTTGTCATGCAAGCAAAATTCTCTTTTCTATGTAATGTTTGGAGAAATTGGAGAGTTTTATTGGTTTAAAGAGACTGGAATCCCATATTTCCCCTGGCAGCTCTAATCTCATATGCACAGAACAAATGAAGTCTCACCTTGAAAGTTCTTCTAGCTTGGATTTAGCAAATTCAAGGCTTTTTCTTTCCACATGTTCATGTGGTGTATGAGCCAGAAGTTCATGAAGAGTTATAATATATCTAGGAATCTAAAGATGAATAAAAGTGTTAGCAGCAAGCAATTAAAGTGATTGAAAATAATTCAAAATGCCTTCCAAAATACATAAAAAATTAATCTCTGACCAAGAGCAGATGAATTGCCTGCTATTTATTATAAATCTACAACTTTTTCTACCAAATAAAATCAAGATAAGTGAATGATCGGAGAGAATTGTAGAGAGATAAGGCCAATGCTTTGGATTCTTGTGTTCATTCCTAGGCAAGAATGGAAAGTGAAAGTTCCAGTTCCCTTGAGATAAGGCCTTGAACAGATGAGGAGTTTTCCAGGGAAACTAGATTACACTTGAGGATACACGGAATGAAAAACAGGTGAACTAGATATTCGCAGAGAATCCAGGATAAGACCTTAAAGACCAGGTGTGTCAGACATGATGTCATGGGTATCTTAAGAGGGCTTAAATTAAATTGCTTTGTTTCAAGCCTCTCAGAGGAGATAACATTGCTTTAAGGAGATTGTTCTCCTGTTTCTGCTCTCAAGTTCTTGTCCAAGTATTCTCAAGTTTCCTATGCTTGCTTATACCTCTTTCCTTGGAGAGTTTACCTTGGAAAAGTTCCCGTTTTCATGTTGATGGATTTATGTTTGGAATGGTGCTGTGGATTTTGGTTTTCTTGACTTTATGTTCCTTGTCATTTTTGGATTAGTGCTACTTTGTATTTTCTATACTACTGATCCTTTTGGAATTGCCCTTTCCCCCTTTTTTATCTACTTTGTTTAATAAACATTTTTAGACAGAATTACTGGACTTTGGTGTGGTGCTGGGTGAGGTGTTTCAGTGTTAGAGTGCAACGTTAGGATTAACAACCAAAATTACACAAATTGTTTTTACAAATGCACCAATAATAAGAACTACCTGAAACATAGGATAAGTGAGGAAAGTTTCAAGCATCCTGCCCTCACATGCAGGGTTGGCTTCATATTGCTTCAAAAGTTTGTCAAAATCTCTATTTTGTTTGCAGTTTGCCAGGACTTGAAGACTATACTGGTGATTTCTAACGAATTCTTGATAAATATTCAGCATTGGTAGCAAGATGTCAAATAAATCGGCTGTAAAAGAGAAGGAAGAATAGTTGGTTTGTGTTGATAAAAAAGGCAGAATGTTAAATTCAAATTATTTACATTGGAGGCATTGTACAATTTGTCCTATTCACATTAGTTGGCTGATGTTGGATGCAACTCTTGTAGCAATCTAACATTCATCTCTGAATAGCTTGCTGCCATTCTCGTCTAACAAAAACTGTGTGGCTATTAAGTAATCTAGTATGAAGACAGTTGAAGAGGCATCTCTTTTCTAGGTATAAAAATCCTGAGCTTTAAAACTGTGGAATTTTTATCAAGCAATTGTTGAAGACAGAAAGCCTCTATTAGGGAGGGAAAGTGTGTGATTTATCTTTCTATCATGCATCTTAATGAAGGCTGTTATTTCTTTGGGGGGGGGCATACATCATCTTCATAAAATCAAAGAAACAAGTAATGTTTGCAGAGATTAAATCTAATATTTAAGGAGAGTTGTATGCACTTCTATATTTATTTTGTATTTTGACCTATTCAAAGACATACTTTACTTTGTATGTGACAAAGGTTTGGCAGCTTATAATACCATTTCATCAAGACTGAACTGTCCCTAGAAGTCAAAATGACCAAACTGGGGTTCTCTAACTTTGTTGTTAGCACGAAGCAACAATACTCGTTAGAGGTAGTAGGGAAAAAGGAAGACTGCTTTGCAGGTGCATAGATTTAATGGACAAAGCCACAGCCTTGAATTTGCATGATCTCAGCACGACAGAGGGTGCTTTGGAGTTCTCTCGTTCATTGGGTTGCCATAAACCAAAGCTGACTTGGCAGCAGTCAACAGTAATAACATCACTTAGCCATATCAATCTAGTCATGGACCTTTTTGAAACACAATAGAAAAATCACATTTCAATGTAAGAAATGCTGTGATAGTTACCTAAAATTAGAGTTGGCCAATTTGCTATTCTTGCTTTTAATCCTTGATGAAATATTTCATGCAAGAACATTATAGTTTCACTGGAAAAAAAAGGGTTGATAACATGTTAAGTCTGTCGCGAAAAAGTATTATCTGAAAGTCATCATGAAGTCTGATCCTACATAATAATAATAATAAAACAACAACAACAATTTTATTTTTGTACCACCACCCCCCCATCTCCCCGAAGGGACTTGGGGCAGCTTACATAGGGACAAGTCCAAACAACATAATTAAAATATGTTCAGTTGCCTTTGGACTGAGAAAGGCGGGATACAAATACTGTAAATAAATACATAATAAATAAATTAAAATACAAATAACAACATCTTAACACAATATAAAACAACCAGATATATAACACAATGTAAAAAGAAAAAAGTTTCTGGTCTTGGGAGGGCGGCCTGATGCAAATTAATTGTGAGGACAGGGCTAATGGATAAAGTGCAAATACCAGATGACAAAACTAAGGATAAAAAGCAATGTAAGGGGGAAACATAACTCTGAGCAGGGAACAGTAGAAAAACTAGATTTTAGGTCATAGCTGGGGGATGAAAATTTTCTAGGAGCCATCTAATCAAAAGCACACTGGAACATCCATGCTTTGAATATCGGCATAAACAGGTACTGTTAAAAACCTCATAGACTTAGATCAAATGTTAATTAAAAATAAAAAAATATGGTACTGCTTATGTTATTTTATATACCCATTTTCTGTCTAAAAATGATGGCATTTTCAACATAACAAACAATAATGCAAACAATTACAAATGGAACCCCAAGGCCCTGAACGCTAAGAGACCTCTTTGCTTTTGCTAGTTTGTGAGAATATCACAGAAAAGAAGTGAAAATAGAAAAACCTATCAATATGAGTAAAGCAAAGAAATGCCAAGCAAATATAAAGCACTGATTTCTATAGAAACAATGTGAGTGGAATTAATTTGCGAATGTCGTGTCTTAAACATTTTAGTCATAATTCTGTAAGAAAATATTCCATAATTATTTCCCCACTTTTCTCATAAAAATAAGACTTTTGGAGGGGTGGACGACACATTTCTAGAAGGCTTCCTATTTTCCAGGGCTCCATATCTCTGCTCTCTTCTTTCTTGTTCCATTCTGGTGGCAGTACATATGGAATGGCTGATTGGGACTTTCCATGCACTGACTGGAGATACATACAGATCCAACAGGTCACTGCTTTTTAAACTATCCCCTTAGCTCAATGTTGGGTATACAAAAAACTGGCAACAGTGAAAGGTTTCTGAATGCTACCCATTTACACAAATCTGTTAGCAACAATGTGCAGTGTTTACAATGGACTTTGCAGGAAATGGTTCACCTTTACTCAACAAAACTTGAAAATGCTGATTTAGCTGTTTAGCAAGACTTGAAAAATGCTAATCTATTATCAGTTAATGTTTGATTTTCTACCTATCTTAAATAATAATGACGACGACAACAATAAGAACAATAACAACAACAACAACACATCAAACTACTCTGGGACTTCCAAATTCAGACTGATAGACTTTTGGAGCACAATACTCCTGACCTCACAATTGTGTTAAAAAACAAAAGTATGGATCGTCAATGTTGCAATCTCAGGTGACAACAGGGTTGAAGAGAAACAACGGGAAAAGCTGACACGATATGAGGATTTAAAGCCAGTAAAGCCAGCACAAGCCAGTAAAGGTGGTCCCAGTGGTGATCAGCATCAAAACTTGCCCTTGAGCTCAGCAGGAGCTGCTCCTCCACTCCTCCAGCAATGGTCTAAAAAAATGTAGCATTTTAATGATTTATAGAATTTTATTGTGTATTTTATATTGTATTTAATAATCTGGTGTTAATGTATTTATTTCTTTGCCTCGCCTTGTATGTGAAAGGCCTATGGTCTAAGCATCAAATAAACTTACTTATATATTAACAGTGGTGATCGGCACACTGGGTGAAGTGCCTAAAGACCTTGCCTGCACTTAAACACAATTGGCACTGACAAAATTACCATTTGCCAGCTGCAGAAGGGTTCTGCACGCATTATTTGTCAATACATCACACAGTCCTAGACACTTGGGCAGTGTCCGACATATGATCCAATACAACAGCCAGCAGAGTGTCTGCTGTGGACTCATCTTGTTGTGTTACAAATAATAATAATGATTATGATGATCATCATCAACTTTATTTGTACTCCACCACCATCTCCCATAGGAACTTGGGGTGGCTTACAAAATAACACACAGTGGTGCCATAGCTATACCTGGGGTCACAAAAAAATTCTCGAGTGGAAAGAAGTTGTGAGTAGAAAAGGTTTAAGAAGCCCTACACTAGATCAAAAACCACTGCATTTTCCCAGATTGATCATTAACTAGGCCATCTGTGAATCAGACACAGTGAAGTTCAATGTGAATAACATGTCAGTAGTTGGTGTGCTCCTGCCCCATGCAAGCTGCTGCCTGACGCAGTTCCCTCACTTTGTCCAATGGTAAGGCCAGCTCTGCCCCTGGTTCAGTTTAGGATACATAATACAGACAAAGATGTGCCAACATAATCCAACCATGATCAATGACATCAACGCAATATATCAAATAATACCTGTTGAGGAATATGCTGCTGACATCATCATGACTAATGGGTGGCTTCTTTGAGCTTGCGGCCATTCTTAATGGTCTTAGAAAACAATTAACAAGAATGTAAAGTTGATGCACATATTCTGATTCAGCCTCAACCATGTTGAAAACAATCTGATTTCTCTTCCGCATGCTCTCTGCATGAGGGGAACAAATATAATCTTGGACAATTGTCTTCCACTTTCTTCTGCACAACCAACCTCGCATAAAACTCTGGACCTAAACATAAAACAAATAATTGATTAAATTGAAACTTAATTATTAATTTCAAATATAAAAATAATGATCATTGAACACATTTACAAAAAGTCCCTCTTTCACTGGGGGGGGATCATTATATGTGAGGCTAGAACAGAGACTGTAAGAAGCTTCCTTATGCCAATACAGTAGCCCATAATGTTGTTCACTATTACATGGATTACTGGTATAAATAAGAGCACCTTTCTAGGAATGCAGATAGAAATCTTCCACCGTCTACTCTGTTAATGTCCTTGACTGAACCTGGGCCCTTTTGCGTGTAAAGCTTGTCCTTTAGCACTGGGCTGCAGCCAAAATACAGAGTTGGCTTTCAGTGTTTCATAACTGTACACAACATAATATGAAGAGCTATATTGCAAGCCCATGTTCTCTTGAGAAGGAAGATTCTCCTTGTTGCCTCATACAACAAGGAGAATTAAAGGTTCCGGTCTTTGATGAGCACCACATATACTCTGCAGTTCACCCAAGATTTTAGACTAAAACAACAAAATAGAATCTAGCGCAGACGTTGATTTAATCTGACCTGACCAAGGTTAAGTCTTGGACAGTGAGTGCATCTACACTGTAGAATTAATACAGTCTGACACCACTTTAACCATGGAATCCTAAGATTTTTTTTAGTTTGGGGAGGCTTTGGCAAAGAAAGCTAAATATCTTATAAAACTACTACTGCCATTATTCAAGAACATTGATCCTTGGCAGTTAAAGTCGTACCAAACTGCCTTAATTCTGCAGTGTAGATGCACCCATGACTCTAGAGACTTGGTTTCAAATCCCCGCTTGGCCATAGGAAACCACCTTAGTTAGATCTCACTCCCTCATGCTCAAAGGCAAGTTCCGATTTGAACTACTCCTGTCATTATAGGGTTGTCTTAGGGTTGCCATGAGTAAAAATGACTTGATGATAAAAGAAAATCAAGAACGAACTTTTCAATAAACTACTTGGAAAAGCAAAAACGTATGTATGGATGTAAATAATGTTGCCTGTAAATTAATTATACTGTACTAAAAATTCCCAATTGAGAACTGAGCATCCTTCTGGTAACAAGATACTGGACTATGTGTAACAACAATTATTGTACATCTGTACCGAAGGTCAATTTAATTACATCTAAACATTCTACACATGCTTAAACATTCAACTTATTTAATTACATCTAAACATTCAAGAAATTGGTAATATAACCTTTTTGTAGAGCATGTGGCAAAATTACACAGGTGCATCAGTAAAAATCCCAGTGAAATATACAATGCTGGAGTTTAGAGATCCAAATGCAAAGTGTTGTCACTGTTATTGCACTTAATATTATACTGACTGACAGCAGCTACTAAAAGTCGTTTCCTTCAGAGACATTCATATTAAACCAGCAGTTTATATCAGTACTGATATAAAAGGTGGCATGGAAATACAGAAGTCTGGGGTTTACAGGACTTAAAATAAACTAAGAAAAGGCAAAAATGTTAATTCCTAATGCAACACAAAAAGACCTGTGTAAGCTACAGATATCATATTTTAGTTTCTTTGGTTTCTGATATTTGGTTATTCTCATAATGAATATACCATAGCTATCATATAGAAATTATAAATAACTTTTCAGAAGTAATAGCCAAAAGCCAAGGAAATGGTTTAAGTTTCTTCTTCTTCTTCTTCTTCATTATACGGCTAGCTATAGTAAACCCCAACATCTAAAAACACTTGTTTCTCTTTCACTCATAACACTGCTCCACTGGCTGCCAATCTGCTACTGACCACAATCCAAAGTGCTGGCTTTAGCCTATAAAGCCCTGAATGGTTCCGCCCCAGTTTACCTGTCTGAACGTATCTCCTGCTACGAACTGCCACAAAGGTTAAGATCGTCGGGGGAGGCCCTGCTCTCAGTTCCGCCATCCTCGCAAACATGACTGGTGTGGACGAGAGACAGGACCTTCTCAGTGGTGTCCCCTCATCTGTGGAACTCCCTTCCCAGTGACATCAGATCACCCCCTCCCTCCTATCCTTTAGAAAACAACTTAAAACATGGTTGTGGGGCCAAGTGTTCGAACAATAGATGCAGCAATTGAGATTGAAACTGACCCTGACAATTGGTTTTACCTGGACTATGATTTGAATTGGCGTGATTTTAAATGAATGTTTTAATACTGTAATGTGTTCATTACTGTTTTAATTGCAAATGTTATTTATGAATCTGTTTGATGGTTGCCTGTTGTAAGCCTTCCTGTGTCCCCCCCTCGGAGATGAGAAGGACGGGATACAAATATGTGAAATAAATAAATAAACAAATAACAAGTACACTCAACAAAAACTGTTCAATTGTAGACTATATTTGCAAAATTTATAGTAGAATTATTAATGTACAAGTACAATATCATATCATCAAGAATACAGCTATACATAACCTTGAGATATTATATAATACAATTCTATTGTTTCAAGTGGCTAACAGAGGAGGAGGAGGAGGAAGGGGACAAGGAGATGAAATCTGTTACTTTAATTGTTGGGTTCAGAATTACATGAAAGCAATATATGGTAATTTAACCAATATTGAAAATATTGAAATTAAAAGAACAGAACTACACATTTACAACCCAAGAAATATTCAATATATGGTTTAACTAACTGAAGACACTACCACTTTTCTGTCCATTTTTACAGGAAAGTACACCCTTCTATGATTCATTCTCCAGTTTCACTTAAACTTATTTCAAAAAGTATTCCTCCCAGAAGTGTCTGCAGACCTTCCTGCTTGAGCCAAAAGCATACCATACTATTCCACGATATGTTTTTGGCCAAGGTATAGTCATAATATAGGGTTCAGTATTATCAATGATAAGGGGCCGTGGTGATGCAACAGCTTAAATCACTAAGCTGCAGAACTTGCCAACCTAAGAGTCAGCAGTTCAAATCTGCAGGACAGGGTGAGCTCCCATTGTTATCCCCAGCTTATGCCAACCTAGCAGTTTAAAAACATGCAAATGTGAGTAGATCAATAGGTACAACTTTGGTAAGAAGGTAAGGGCACTCTATGCAGTCATGCCAGCCTCAGGTATCTACACACAATGCTGGCTCTTTGGCTTGGAAATGGAGTTGAGTACCACCCCCAGAGTCAGATTTGACTAGACTTAATAAGGAGAAACCTTTGCCTTTTTATTATCAATGGTTCCAGATATTCTCAGGGGGCTTGGTACATACGCTCTTGCGAATACAGAGATTGTACTGTTCTTAGATAAAACATAAATTCCAACAATACAAGGAATGGCAAGGTAAAATATGTAGGATAAAAGATCCATCTGAAACTGGTACACCTTTGCAAACAAATGAATTTACAAGTAAACTTGAATCAATTAATTCTATCTAGAATATAGTATTTCCTTGTTAAAGCAAAACAGAAGGTCCCCCAAGAGCTGTAACTGTATTTGAGATATATTTCAGCAACATCGTAAGTAAAACAAATGGACAAGCTCCCTGTAATATATAACACATTACAAGCAATCCAAGAGGATGAAGCTTGCATGTGAGTTGGATCTAAGAATAGCACTATCAGGGGGGAAATGAGATGGAAACCAAAGGTACAAAATAAATAAGTTTGGAAAGGTTTAGTAAAGTAGGTTACAATCCAAAAATAGTTTTTTGGGGGGAAATAGTAAATTGGAAAACATGAATGGTGCACCACATAGAAACTTTAATGTTATTATTTATATTTGAAAATGGCCATGGAAGGCTCACTGAACTAAAATTTCAGCGATATTATTAAACACTATACAATTAGAAATAGTGAAATTATCGAAAACCTTTAAATGATTTCCTAAATAAAAGTGTCTAGATAGAGTGTACCCTGTACCAGTGCAATGGATTCACACTACACCTGAATATTAGGAAAAACTTCCTTGTGGCTCTAAGTGCAGGTCAGCTGTAACCAGCAGAGCTGTGGAATTTGAAGAGGTGCAAATGGAGGGCGGAAGGGAGAAATGTGCCAAGAGGAAGGCGCCTCAAGCCAACTCTGATTGAGACGGCCTTCCACCTGGAAACCAATGTCCTCCTTGTGGAACAGTGGTTCTCAACCTGGGGTCCCCAGATGTTTTTGGCCTACAACTCCCAGAAATCCTAATAGATGGTAAACTGGCTGGGACTGACAATGTATATGTTCTCTCTGTTACAATACGATGTTTGGAAGTTTACCTTTTTAATTTTTTTGATATCTGGATCTTCTTCTTCTTGGTTGCCTTGATAAGGTCGCATTCGTTCTTTAGTTTTATTGAGAGCTACAATCTGAAAGAAAGAAATCATTAAGATTTTCTACAAATTTAAGCCTATTCAAAATCTTACTTTAGTGGTTTACTTTCAGGACAGAGTAGTCCTCTTAGCCTCCTTAGTTTTATTAATGTTCGTCCAAAACCTGAAAACCTGATTATTTAAAACATGGGAAGTGTTAGCCTCTAAGCCTTTTCTTATTCCTACAAGCTCCTTAAGTATTAGGAGAGCATGGGAGAAAAACAACTCCAGTGGGATAATCTCCATAACTTGAGGTCTCCAACAACAAGAGCTTTTTGTTAAGCTTGGACTTCCTCCCAAATCCTTCTAAACAGTCAGAAAACCTCAAAAGTCACACACAAGATGTTGTTTCTTCCTGCTTTTTTCATGTCATTGAGTGAAATGAGGGGTAAATTATATTTTCAATGTATAAAATAGTCAATAATTGCACTAGAGAAAAGTAATCTGCTCCTGCTTTCAGTACATACCTCTGATTTAAGCCTTTCAATTTCTGTGTCTTGATCCTCAAGTTGATGTCGCAGCTGATTGGCTGAGATCTTTTCCGTCTCTACAATCTGAACTAGATGTATGTATTTTTGCATTAATACTTCCCTTTCAATTAGGATATCTGAGTAACTACAAATAGACAAAGAAAAGAGCAAACACTTTAAGTTCTCAAACATGGCAGATACAACCTTTATGTGAATTGATGAAAGTTCAAAATGTCATCCCTCCTATTTTAGGGGGAGGATGTGTTGCTAAGGGATAGGGCAGAATTTACTTTAATAATTTACTGTATCTTTAATTTATGTTTTGAATTTTTTTAGCTGAATTTGATCAGGAAATAGCAATTAGAGTTCTTTGTTATATTTATACAGTTATTTCTCTGCACTTACATTGAGATGTTTTCTGATTGAGAAGGTGGTAGAATATTTGCTTATTTTGCATAGAGATACAAACATACCAAATTTGTATTTCCTGATTTTGTTATGTAATCCACCAAGCAAAAGAGAAAAATTGCTCCTACTACCCCTTTTCTCCTGATATGACATTTCTCCGGCAGAACTCTGGCAGTAGTTTAATGGTGGCCAGGTAAGTTACTTTACCCCCCCCCCCCCACTGGTTTTAAATGGTTTTGGGGAGGGGGTGTGTGAATGTCTCCCTGCCCTCCCGAAGGGTTCTGGGAGTGCATGTGGACCCCTCCTGTGGGCATGTGCGGGCTGGTGCAATTGAGTTTTAAAAACATGATTGCTCCCAGGTTAAAGAGCTGTTGGAATCCGCTGTAGGATGTCTCTCTAATAATTTTCTACATCTCCCAATGCAATTATATTGCAACTTCTAACAGAAGTCATTCATTTCAATAGGTTTCAATTATCCATGGTTTCTTGTTTCCATGATAAGTTCAAAAATGTATTTCCTGTGGATACGGGGGGTCATACTGCATTGTTTTTGAAGGAAAGCCAGTCATTCAGTGGAATCAGTTCCGAACTCTAGAGGACAGGGCAATACCACCTTCCATGGAAATGGCCTATTCCTGTATATCCCATTCTCCATTCTGCAGTTCCTTCCATTATTTTCCAGGTTGCCTACCTAAGATCAAAAACTTTTATACAGGAAAAGTATTATCATGTAACCATCAACCAATTGACAGCATAATCCTATGCATATCTATTCCTGCTGTGTTTAATTGGGACAATTCCCTTGATGGGCTACTCTTATTACAGTAGCGTCTAGCTTATCCAACATAAACGGGCCAGCAGAATGTTGGATAAGTCAAAATGTTGGATAATAAGGCAGGATTAAGAAAAAGCCTATTAAACGTCAAATTACATTATGATTTTACAAATTAAGCACCAACAAATTGACAGGAAAAGCAGTTCAATACACAGTAATTGTATGAAGTCTTTATGAATTTAGCATCAAAACATCTCAATGTATTGAAACAGCTGTGGATCCAGGCAGGAGGCAGACTGCGGATCCAGGCAGGAGGCAGACTGCGTTGGATAATACAGAACATTAGATGAGCGAAGGTTGGATATGCGAGACTCTACTGTATTTCAAATTTCTTTCCCACTTTGAATCTATCATTAAAAACATTTTCAAATAAAGAATTTAAGGTATTTAAAATATCAACCTATTCTTATCCAAACGAAACAAATCTATTATGAACTATTTGTTATGATACAATTAGGGTGAAATTAGGGATTATCATTAAACTTGTTTGCTGGCCTGGAAAACAAACTCCTATTGACTTAATTGGGAAGAGTTCTCAAGTCATTTTCTCCTGTGAAAACAAAATAGTTACCTCTGTTACCATGATTATCATTACTACTATCACTGAAAAGATAACTTTACTCCTGTGCTTCCTGATGTAACCCAGATCTCATGGACTGGATAAAGGATGCTTTTTATATTAAACCCAATGCCTGGAAAACCTAGCTTTTGGACTACAGCTCCTGCAATCCATCATGCAGCATGGTTAGTGGCTATGCATGGTGGAGTATTCTGGCAATTACAATCCAAAATATGAATTTGCTCAAGACCTGGATATACTGTGCCCCCAGTGGCGCAGTGAGTTAAATCGCTGAGCTGCTGAACTTGCTAACTGAAAGGTCGCAGGTTCGAATCCGGGGAGCGGGGTGAGCTCCAGCTGTTAGCCCAAATGGCATTGGTATGAGAAGTAACAGTGGGCCCTTCATATTTACTGATGTTTGGTTCCAGGATCCTGCATGGACACCAAAATCTATGGCTGCACAAGTCCCATTCTATACAATGGCACAGTAAAATTATGTCTATTATATACAATAGCAACATCAAGGTTTTAGCACTCTGGTAGTACTATTTAGATACTAATGGGCAGGAAATCCAAGGAGGAAGTCTGTCTGGCGGGATGTATGGCATTTAGTGAAGAGTGCTGCTCAAATGGACATCAGTTGGGTGCATTGCCACTATACTGAACCAGACAGAGCCGAGAAAGTCTTTACAGACTTGAACAGCATGTAATGAAGTAATAGCATGAGCAAATAAAAGAAGATAGGAGTTTTGTAGCTTTCCTAATGTGAGCCTATGCTGGCCACTGCAAAATGATGCTGAAGTTTCTAGACTGGAGTTTTTGTTGTCTCTCAGGAGAAAGAAGCAGCACACCAAGAGCAGGTTCTACTTCACAAGCTCTTTGGGGCCAGTTAAACACACAAGCAAAGGAAGGAAATTCTGTCTCAATAAATCACAACAATTGGTTAGGAATTAACTGTGGTATTGGAGGTTCAATTTCATACCTCGCCTGGTGAATAGCGTCTACCCATTCTTCTCCCTCTGCTTCATCTTCACAGCGGAGCTCAAGTGGTTTTTGTCCTTCATGGCCAAAAAGGACAGTGAAATAGAACTATGAAGTTGTAAAAAAAAGACAAGAAAAAAAGGAAAGTAGTGTTTGAAAACAGCCATTTTTACAAAAGGGAATAAGACACACACATTTAATATACTAGCTGAGCATCCCTTATCCAAAATGCTTCTGACCAGAAATGCTCTGCATTTATGATTTTAGGGACATTTTGAAGGAATTGCATATACATACTGAGATTAAACTAGAGGTGGATTCCAAGTTAAAATGCAACATACCGTATATTCCGGTGTATAAGACGACTAGGTGTATAAGACGACCCCCCAACTTTTACAGTTAAAATACAGATTTTGGGATATATTCACCATATAAGACCACCCCCCTTCCAATGCACACTAAATAAAAATTTTAAAAAATCAGATTTTATTTTAAATCCAAGACTATCAGAGTGTTAGCCAGCTCTTCGGCTTAGAAATGGAGATGAGCACCAACCCCCAGAGTTGGACACAACTGGACTTAATGTCAGGGGAAAACCTTTACCTTACCTGGAGTGAGCCCAGATCCAATGTCTTTTCCCGAACAACAACAACAACAACAACAATAATAGAACCCTAGAGTTGGAAGGGACACCAATGGCCATCCAGTTTAACCCTAATTCTGCCAGGCAGCAAAACACATCCAAGCCCTCCTGACAGGTGGCCATCCTGCTCTGCTTAATAAGAACAACAACAACAACAGGACCCTAGAGTTGGAAAGGACCCCAATGGCCAGGGAAGAACATACATCCAAGTCCTCATGACAGGTGGTCATACAACTCCGTTTAACAACAACAACAACAACAACAACACAATAATAGAACCCTAGAGTTGGAAGGGGCTATCCAGTCTAACCCTAATTCTGCCAGGCAGCAAAACACATCCAAGCCCTCCTGACAGGTAGCCATCCTGCTCTGCTTAATAAGAACAACAACAACAACAATAATAATAATAATAATAATAATAGAATCCTAGAGTTGGAAAACACCCCAATGGCCAGGGAGGAACATACATCCAAGTCCTCATGACAGGTGGCCATACAACTCTGTTTAATAACAACAACAACAACAACAATAATAGAACCCTAGAGTTGGAAGGGACTCAAATGGCCATCCAGTCCATCCCCACTCACTCCTGCCAGGCAAGAAGACACAATGCAAGCCCTCCCAACAGGTGGCCATCAAGCTCTCCTTGATAACAACAACAACAACAACAATAAAAAAACCTAGATTGGAAGGGACTCCAATGGCCATCCAGTCTAACCCCACTCACTCCTGCCAGGCAGGAAGACATAATGCAAGCCCTCCCAACAGATGTCCATCAATCTCACTTTGATAATAATAATAATAATAATAATAATAATAATAATAATAATAAATGGAACCCTAGAGTTGGAAGGGACCCCAATGGCCATCCAGTCCATCCCCACTCACTCCTGCCAGGCAGGAAGACACAATGCAAGCCCTCCCAACAGATGTCCATCAATCTCTCTTTGATAATAATAATAATAATAATAATAAATGGAACCCTAGAGTTGGAAGAGACCCCAATGGCCATCCAGTCTAACTCCACTCCTGCCAGACAGGAAGATACTATCCAAGCCCTCCCAACAGATGTCCATCCAGCTCAGGCCCATCAGGCTCCAGCCCCACTCCTCTCCAGACCTGGCTAGGATACCTATCCTGGAGTGTGTAGATGGGGGGTTGGGGTGGCAGAGAGGGGCAGAAGGCAGTCAGGAGTGGGAAGAGGGGCAGTGGGGGTGGGCGAGATGTCCCCCTCGCCTGCTCCAGTCCCACCCCCCGTTTCCCTGCCATCCCTGAGCTGCGCAGCCTAAGGAGGAGGAGCAAGGGGGAGGGAGGAGGAGCAAAGGGGGAGGGAGGGGCGAGGAGGAGAAGCATAAGGCTGTGTTACCTTGTAGAATGGCTGGGGGTGGTGGCCTGCTGGGCTGTCCCCACACGAGCCTGGTGATGTCTGTTGCCACTTGCTTGGGGCTGCCTCAGCCTTAACCTCGGAGCAACTGTGCTGAAGAGCTGAAGCCAGAGGGGAGGGGCGTGGTGCGGCCTGGCTCCGCCCCCCCTGCTCTGGCTTCAGCTCCCACAGCAGCTGCTCAGGGGTTAAGGCGGAGGCAGTACCAAGCTTGGTGCTGGCTCTCCCGCCGCTGGCTTGGTACTCCTCAAGTCTCGAGCGGCTGCTGAGAGAACTGAAGCCAGAGCCGGGGGGCGCAGCCAGGCTGCGCTGCACCATGCCGCACCCCCCCCCCCGGCTCTGGCTTCGGCTCTCTGCCGCCACTGGCTTGGTACTGCCTCCTCCTCAAGCATGGAGGAGCTGCTGCAAGAGCCAAAGCCAGAGCCAGAGGTGCGCGGCGCGGCGCAGCCTGGCTCCGCCCCCCCTTCCCTGGGTTCAGCTCCAGCAGCAGCTGCTCCATGCTTGAGGAAGGGGCAGTACCAAACCAGTGGCGGCAGAGCCAATACCAGGCTTGCGAGGTGGGGACAGCCCAGCAGGCCACCACCCACAGCCATTCTCCAAGGTAACGCGGCCTCACGCTCCTCCTACTCGCCTCCTCCCTCCCACTTCGCTCCTTCTCCTCAGGCAGCGCCGCTTTGGGGATGGCGAGGGAGGTGAGCAGCTGCCCACCCACTAGAGTAGGTTTCGGCTCCATAGCAGCGGAAGCAGAAACCAACAAGACCCCGAGATATCCGGCGTACAAGACGACTCCCCATTTTGGAGATGAATTTCTGGGGTTCAAAAGTCGTCTTGTACCCCGGAATATACAGTACATTTATTTCCTATACATTTTATACACATATAACAAAAGTAATTTTATACAATATTATGCAAATATTTATACAATATTATGCAAAGGTATCACTATCACATTTACATATTTTTGATATTTAGGATTTCAGCATTTTGGATAAAGGATACGAAACCTCTACTGTTAATATAGTCAATACATGCAATTCAGCTCTGACTCAGTTTAAACAACATGAACATTTCAAATAGGAAAACATCGCTCAGTGATATCAGAGTGCCGGCATTCTTTTTTCTACGATGGAAAACACGTGCTCACAGGAATCTTGTAAGCTGGCTATGGGGGCCTTACAGCAAGATGTGATTAAATTCTACATATTGCTTTGAACTAACTAGTTTATTTGTTGTTGTTGTTTGGGGGGGGGGTGAATTCTTGCAAAATACCACTGAGTAATAATATAACAAATTCAAAATGACATGAGGACTGAACATTTTCAATCTAATGGGCCATGGCATATAGCTCTCCCCAAATCTATCCATTTAATGAAAGCCTTGAGGGTGCATAAAAAGATATGAAATGGGTGACAAATTAAGGGTAAATGCAGGGTATTTGACCCTGACAAATCAGCTTCGCTCAGGATAATATTTACTATTATTATTATTATTATTATTATTATTATTATTATTATTAACTTTATTTGTACCCCGCTAGCATCTCCCGAAGGACTCGATGCGGCTTACACAGGCCAAGGCCTCAATAAACAACAGCATAACAAAAACACATAACTTAAAGCAAATCAAATACTTCTCTTGCAATATACAGTTCACTATCAATGTCGTTTGATATTTTTGTTGCCTCCTTTCCATTGTTATTGTTGTTTATTTGTTCAGCTGCTTCCGACTCTTTGACCTCATGGACCAGCCCATGCAAGAGCTCCCTGCTGGCCATGGCCACCCACAGCTCCTTCAAAGTCAAACCAGTCACTTCAAGGATACTATCCATGCATCTTGCCCTTTCCATAAAGACAAATAAAAAAAAATCTGTTCCTGCTCACCTCACTGAACAGGCTACAGTTTGTCAAGCTGTTCTCAAACCAGATGCAATAGTCACCATCAGGGAGAACTGTGCCAGAGACCTTTCACTTTCCAGGTATCTTTGAGTGCTCACCAAGGTACCCTGGTTCATCTGTTTGGATAACCACATAACCAAGCTGTGACTGAGATAGTAAGGCAGGAAAATAATTAATGCCAAACTCTCTCAAATGCCTGGACAGCAAATGGGAGAAGTGGGGACGGTGGAATTTGGACCAATCAATAACTCAGCTTCCAAGAGGTCACCTAGCTGTTAACTGGAGGGAAAGCATCATACAACACTTCTCTCTCAACATGGGAGGCTCACCAGGCATCTCCAAGAGGGCAACACTTTCCCCATGTGATGAGGAAAGTGTTGCCAAGAAAAGTGTTTGCCATGCTGCTTCCTCTTTCCTCCTGGATGCCAGGCAAAGTGGGATCTTCATCTGGCTAATATGGTGAAGGGCTGTAGCCAGAAAAAATTTTCGGGAGGGGTTGAAATTTTCAGGGGGGGGGGTTGAAAATTTTGCAGGGGTGGGTTGAAACCTGCCTTCTAGCTCACGCTGAAGCAAAGAGCACAGCAGGGAACAGAGCAGCCTTCCATAGCCTGCAACTCCGCCCCTGTCAACCACCTCCACCAAGTCTGGCCTCCTTAATGAGAGCATTCAACACACACACACCCAACTTTGTTGCTTCACTACATCGGCTAATGCTGCAAGTAGTGTCAGTGTGAATAAATTGTCAATATTTAAGGCCTTGCATGGTCTGGGGCCGATGTACCTGAGGGACCGCCTCACCCCCTACCTTGGTCCTCCGTTCTGAGGACCAAGATCTATTGGAAATTCCCAGTGTCAAGACCTTGCGTCTAACAGCAACCAGACGCAGAGCCTTTACAGCAGTGGCACCATCACTCTGGAATACTCTGCCATCTGAAGTCTGTGCCTTGCAGGACTTATCAGCTTTCCGCAGGGCATGTAAGACAAATCTGTTTCGACGGGCCTTTGATCTCCGATATTGCTGTTTTTAAATTGTTTTAAATTGTTTTTAAATTGTGTTCGATTTTAGCCTGTTCTTGTAAGCCGCTCCGATCCCCAGGGGAGTGGCGGCATATAAGTCCGAATAATAAATAAATAAATAAATATTTGCTTGAGATAGTGCTTGTAGTTCTGGAGGGACTCTTAATTTTTT